CTATGCAGTAAGGGAATTATTAATTTTTCTCTTCCCTAGGGCCCTAGTGAGAACAAAATTTGCCAGACATAGCACATAACTCTGGTAGGCCCTAGTATCATATCTAGCTAAGTAACTCTCTTTCTTCTTACCAGGAGCTATTTTCTTAGCACAATTTTCTCTTCTTTCTAGATGTCTCTTTATAGCAAGCTCAGATCATATAGCACTTATAGGAATAATTTGGCAATAATTGACCCAAAGACTTCTCTTCTTTTTGAGGACCAATCAGATATTCTTACAATCTGGGAAGGATCAACTGCAATAAGTTCTATTTATAAACAGAGTAGATTAACCATTCTCGTATTACAAATACAAAATCAGAAATCATAAGCACTGAGAAAACATATGTACACTTTCACAGCCTGTGTAAGGCTTTTAAACTCTTCCCAATTCAATACCTTTATTCTCAAATGATTTTTATTTCTCTTTGTATTTATCCAAATTGGAAATGTCACTTAACATTTACACTGTCTTTTATAGAGTCAAAGCACTTAGCAAATTTTAGCAGAGCTGGTTAAATTGCTTACAATTCTGAATACCATGGCTTATCATGATTAGGCACAGCTGTAAAGAGTAAAAAGAATAAAAGCATAGTTTTTGGATTGTGTTAACTGACTCTTAGAATAATGAGCAGGCCATGATAACAATATTGATAATAGTTAAATTTATTGTTCATTATGTTTCAGGCACTGTGCTAAGCATATTGCATAGATTATCTCATCTTTTCTTCCCAATAACCCCTATGAGGTAAGATAGTAGAATTATTCTCATTTTCAGATGAAGTGACTGAGGTTCAGAATAGTGAATAACTTGTCAGTTGCCCATGTTCTAGAAACTGGACCCAGGATTCAAATTTAGGTTGATAGATTCCAGCACTCACATTCCCCCGACCCTGCCACCCCCTACCCTATGGCACCACTCTCATGACACAGCAATGGTGCTAGGGAAGAAACAGTCCTCTGGACCATGCTCACATGCTCAGAACCAGCCTGAGGAAGGACGTGTGCAAGTGGTGGTATAGGAAACCAGACTTATTCACACCCTCACTTTACTAAAGCAAGCAGTAGCTCTTCGATGTGTGTTTTAGTTTCAATCTCTGGGGGAAGAGGTTCCTCAAGTGTTGGGAATAGTTTATGTTCATGTAGAGGCTAAATAAAAACAGTGGCTACTCAGTTCGGAAGCCATTGGTGCAGAAGTAGAAACGTGAGCCAAGAAACATGAGCACTCAGTCAAGAAGCCTTGGTTTACTGAGAACAGGGCCTGCGTAGATGACTTAGTGAATGACAGGACAAGTGGAATAACCTATAATGGAAATCAGAAATGTTGAGAGTTAGCCTTTTCAGTCTTAGGGTTAATCATCCCACTAATAACTACACTGTGTGGTATTTGTGGTATTTGTTTCACTCAGGAGATTTTGGATACATTGATTATTTTCCCTTTACTTCAAATTTCCTCATCTACCTAGTGGGAAGAATAATGTTTCCATTCTTCCCTTCCCTCAACCATCCCTCTTATAAGTATAAATTATACTTATTTGGGGTTGAATAAATCATTATAAAATGACCAGAGTGGTTTTGAAAAAGACTATTTCATGTAACTTTATTCTTTTACTTTCCTTGCCTCAGTGGCTGTGTCTTAAGGAAGAGGTCACAGATGTACTGAAATCTACAACTACTTGGAAACTATTAACAAGGATGATTTCTATAACATCTTTTTGTATTGTTTGATTTCTGTTTAGTTTGTTTATTTTGTTCTTTAGAGTCCATATGTAAGTGAAATCATAGGGCATTTGTCTTTCTCTGACAGACTCCATTCAGCACAACACCCTCTAGGTCCATCCATGTTGTGGCAGATGGCAATGTTTCATTCTTTTTTATGGCTGAGGAATATTCCATTGCATATATGCACCACATCTTCCTTATCCATTCCTCCATTGATGGACACTCAGGCCACCCCCATATCTTGGCTGTTGTAAACACTGCTGCAATTAATGTGTGGATTCACATGTCTGTGTCTTTCGATCTGAAGACTCTTGTAGGCAGCATACGTAGGGTCTTGTTTTCTTATCCATTCAGCCACTCTATATTTTGATTGGAGCATTTAATCCATGTACATTGAAAGTAATTATTGGTAGATATGTAGTTATTGCCATTTTATTATTCATATTTTTTTTATCTTTCCTCTTCCTCCTCCTCTCACTTGAGAGGCCAAGCCATGAACCAAAGCTGGCTGCCACTCTGCCAGGCTCAGGGCTGCTCAACAAGAGATATGAAGTTCACCAAGGCCAGATGCTACTTATTTGTGGTTTGTGGACCTTTGAGAGATTTTAAGAAAGTCCACAGCATGAGCCAAGAGAGGCCATTTGTATGGAAAAGCCACTGGAAATGGCTTGGGTAGGCCTGCAATTTGGGTGGGGCAGGGCCTCAGGGAGTCACCAGGAAAGGGTTACCAGTATAATCCAGGTTGATGGAGACTCAGATATGATGACTGCCTGCATCTGCATACCAACAGTAGGGAGGGTTCAATGAAGGAACAATGGGTTCTGCCCCTACTTCTGTCTGGGAGAAAGCTGCCCCTCCAGCCCTCACCTTGAAGCCAGACAATTCATTTCCTCCCCATACCTCTCTGATGCCTTTGAAGCTGCTGCCCATGCTCAGAGTGAGTGAGTCTATCAGTAAATAAGTTCATGCATGGGCCTTTTAGATGGATGCCTGGAACTCCCACAGCCCCCTCCCCAGTCACAAAATCTTTTGTTTTTCACAAACAGTAGTTGTGGGGACTTCTCTTTCTGGCACTGGAATACTGGGCTGGGGAGCCTGGTCTTGGGCCAGGACCCTTCACTCCCCCGAGGGGATCTCCACAGCCAAGATATCCCTCCTGATTCTCAACCACCACACACAGATATGGGACCAGCTTGTTTCATATCTCCACCCCTCCTGCCAGTTTTGAAATGGCCTCTTCTCTATGTCCTTAGTTGTAGGACTTCTGTTCAACTAGGCTTCAGCTGATTCTCCAGGACGGTTGTTCTATAGTTCAGTTGTAATTTTGATGTTGTCCTGAGAAGAGGCAAGCATAGTGTTTCCTTACTTCACCATCTTTACTGGAACTCTATAACATCTTTAATAGACCAATTTCTCTTTGCAAATGATTTTTGAAACATTTTCTAGTTTATCTTTCTTAGAGTTTAATTCTGTTAAAATATTCAGTTCTTTTATTTTGTAGAAGATATTCTATTGTTACAAACTTTTGCATGTTTTTATATATGATCTTGTCCATATTGTCTTTCACTTTTTTTTTCTGATTGATCTAACATTTTTACTATTTTGTCTTTTGGTTCCTTAAAAAGGGTTATCTCCTGCCTTTATTTGTTTAATTTGTTAAAATTTCAGTTTAATATTGAATATCTTTAGTAGAGCACTATAAACTTAGGATTCTAGATTAGTTCATAAAAAATACATATCTAAATATTCAGCAATGTCTGGTATCTTAAGGTACATGAGAAAATACCTTACTCAAAGATTTAGAGATAGAACTAATGATTGATGAAATCCTAAATTTACCACAATTGATATTTAATAAATATTTGCTAATTTGAGAATGAGCTTGGGATAAATATCACAGTATGATTTTAAAATGCTTTTAAACTTTAGAAAATTTATAGCCAGTGTGAGCAGAAATGGATGAGTTAGACATTCTAGAATAAGGAGATAAGATACCGAGCTAGCAGCTTTACTATTATTATTGTTATTATTTTTAATACAAAAAAGTGGGTGAAATATACAATAGGGTAAAGAAACATTCTAAGTGAAGTCTTGGAAGTGGCGATAAAGTAGAACATGTAAAGAAATATGTTGGCCATTGTACCCACTCTCAAAATGTGTACAGTAGAAGGAGAAAGCCACAGACTCATGCTTTTTAATGGAAAAAATTTAAATGAGAACAATGATCAAAATGAGAATAGAAGAATAGGAGAGATCTCATAGTGGATCCCTTTGGGGATGATTTTCTTTGTAATGTTCTGAAGCTTATGCTTTGTAATTAGAATAATCCTTGGTCTGTTTCATTCTGTGATGGAGGAAAGGGCTCAGAGTTCCAGGGAAAAGCAAATGGAGAGCATGGTTTTGACCAGGGCCCCAAAGCTGTGGCCTTCAGCAGTGCTGGGCCCTCCAGTGGTGGGAGGTGCTGGCTCCCATGACATCTGATAAGGCAGAAAGGTAATTAACCAATAAAAGACAAGGTGTTACTGAAAAGTAGAATTTGTGCACCTGATTACTAATTAATCAGGCGTGAGAGCACCTTGTAGATGCATTCACTATTTAATTATAGCAGCCTCTCTTGGCAAAAGAGCATATGTTCTCAGCTTAATCTACTGGTTTATACTGACATCAAATTGTCATTATCAGAAAGAATCAGGCCTTTTGATTATTTCCACTAATTTATTGAACACTTAAAATTAATGAACCCCAGGCCTTTTAAATGTGCTCAGTTGGTTTGGAAGATGGGAGGTGAAAGGGGGGTGGAGAGAAACCTTCATTAAAAGGACAATTTGTTTAGATAAAGGTAAAGCAAATACATTTCATGGGTGATCTGAACTCTATTGGTGAAAAATACATGAATCCTAAAAACTGAGCCTTCAAAGTGATGGAGAGGAAATAGGGTATGTGGTGTGCCCGGCTGACCAACATTGGCCTCCAAAGAACATATAGCTACAAGAGTTTTTTTTCCCTAATTATTTATGTGCCACTTCTCTTGGAGACACACTGCAATTAAGTTTAATCAAATAAAAGCGAGCAAAATCAAATCTTGGAAATCAATTGTTAGACTAACTAACAAGGACTTCATTTTTTATTTTGAAAATTTAGTTAGATTGAGGAGAATTTAGCCACCTTTCTTTCATATAAATATCTTTCATATTAAGATGATCTTTGCATTACATTCAGGTTGTGGCTTTTGGCATTCAGTTTCAGGTGAAGGCCAAATTCAAGTAATTCTCCAGATGAAGGAAGGTGTGCCCCCAACTGTTTCAGGTGAGTATTAACCCATCACATAGAAGTGTCTGGTACAACAGAATATAATAGTTGTACAAATTCTTCCCATCATATTGTTTATAAAATGCAGATATCAGTCCTAATGTTTTTATGCCTAACAACTCACTATTGTGTCAGCTCTATAGCTAAAATATGTGTCTGCATGTCAAAGAAAAATATAAGAAGGGTGTATTTCAAAACATTGGAAGGCATGAATTAAAACATGTAAATAAGCACATTTCATAAATTATGGACCATATGTGCACAAAGGAGTCCAGATCTGCAGATGGGCCATTAGGCCCTCACCAAATGAAAAGAGAAATTCAGGGTATCTCAAAACTTTAATTGTTCCCAGTAATTTCAGAAAGTCAGGATAAACAAACCCTCCCCTAAAGTCAGATGGTTCTGTGAAATCTTTCTAACTCATAAAAACCAAATTCTCAAAGACTAAATGACTCATAAACACCTTCTAATATATTTCATTGTTTGTTTTTATTTATTCTGAGTCAATTTAACTATACATTTGCAGCAGAGATAAATCTTTCCAAAGGCTGAGTTTTCCTTTGATTTCCAGTGGCATTTTTGTCTTATGTCAGAGCAGAGCCCATGCTAATTAGAAAATGATCTAATTCCTCCATCAAAATTAGTAAATAAATGAAGCAAAGGTATTGGACTAAAACTATAAACTAGAAGTACTGACGGTTACCACTTTACGCTTATTGGACTAAGAAAAATATGATCCTTTGTTTTTGAGCTGCCATAGCATTTTGCTCTGTTTCCTGAACTTTCTTTATTTTCGATAACTGAATAAACTTTATTCACTCTCAACATGAAGCAACTTCTTTTTAACTTAAAATTTTTAAAAATTTCTTTTTCAGTTGTAGTTGACATACAATTTTATGTTAGTTTAAGATGTACAACATAGTGATTGGACATTTATGTAACAAAATGATCACCTCAATAAGCCTAGCATCCATCGGCATCATACATAGTTATTACAATATTATTGACTATATTCCCTATGCTATAATTTATGTTACTGTGACTATTTTTATAACTGGCAATTTGTACTTCTTAAACCCTTTCACCTTTTTTGCCTGTCCCTGCAACACCTCTTCCATCTGGTGGCCATTAGTTTGTCCTTTGTATCTATGAGCTTGTTTCAGTTTTGTTTTAGGTGGTTCAAAAAGCCTTGTTTATTGAGTGCCTCTTATAGGAGGTGCAGGGGGGTACAGTGATGATCAATAGTCTTTGACTTTATGAGGTCTTATGGTCACTTGTAGATGTCAATCAAATGACTAACTAAATAGTCAATGAATAAATTTTCTTTAAAATAACTGTTACCAAGGAAAATTATCTTACAGTTCTCTCCTTTCTGAAACTCCTGAATTCAAATTCTCAGAGAAGAGACTAGATTGGCTGGATCGGTCACCATTTTGTAGACAACCTACTTTTTGAGGATGATCTCATGCCAAGACTCTTTAGAAGATGCTGGATCATTTATGGAAGCCATTCCTGGTTCAATCAGCTGTAGTCAGGGCGGCATGCCACTCAACACTTTGTATAAAGATTTCTGTGTTAAGGACTCTTTGGAAGGACACTGTGGATGGCTAGCTCCACGGAGTTTTAAGGAGGGGTCAGTTTAACTGGGAGGTACTTCATTTGGCCTGTAAATTACAACATGTGAGTAAATAGAAAGCCAATGCTTCATGGAGTTGTAGAATTTTAATAAAGGAAGAAACATCACAGGCCATCTTATCCAATTGCCTCATTTTACAAATGAGGGCATGGAAGCCTAGAGATTAAAGTTTACTTAGTCACATCAATAGTCAGTGGTTGAGCCTAGAGAAGAACTCAGTTTCCCAGCTCATTTCAATGTGTTTTTTTCTTGCTGTAATATAAGTGCTAAGGTGCTTAATTACCTTTTTATAACATATATGAATTTATGAGTTAGATTAGAATTAATTCTGTATAGCCAGTTTTCCTAGCTCATACAGTTTGATACAGAAAACTTTCTTAAAGCACAAGGAGTTACAGAATTAGTACATTACCATTCATCAGGAAGAAATTTCAAATATTAATATGCTTCTAAGACATTGCCTGATTACCATAGTATAGGATATATGTACTAATGTCAAATTTTTAACATAGGTGTGTATTATTCTTAAAAAATAGCTCTATGAAAAATAGTAAAATTATTATAGTATCAAAAATTCTTTAACAAAACAAGAATGGAATATTTCATGGAAATCTATCTATATATTAAGCTATTCAGAGATTCAACATATGTATGTAATGCAGATGAAACATTATGGGTTAAGATGTCCTGCAGTAGGGAGACTCTAGGATCACTCAGTTACTTGATGGCTTATTTTGTGTGCAAGATTGTGTTGGTCGTTGTGGCAGCTGAAATTAGGGTACATATGAGCCAATGATGGGGAGAGACAGTGGAGGTAGTGGTGATGTAAGTTGTCACATGGGTGCATAGTGGGTTGGAGTAAGGATTTATGTAAATTTGGGTCAAGATGGCACCTAGGTTTCTGGATACGCCAAAGCAAGTCTTTCATGCTCCTCCAACACTGGCTTTATTAGTTTCTTCTTAAGGTCCGTGATGTTTTATAAACGATGGGGTGGGGGAATGGGTGAAGCAACTCATTTTGATGGAAAATAAAAATATTTCTGAAAAGGTTTTATCTCAGCCATATTGTCTTTTCAGTGGGGGCTAATTTCGAATGTTGTCCACAGCCATGTGAGAACATTCAGATGATCATATATTCTCTCCCTAAATTTTCCAACCTTATCCCCACAGATCTAACTTTATTTCTTTTCCTCTGGTCTCTGAGATTTCATCAACTTTTCTCCTGTTTAAAGTCAACTCATCCCTTCCAGCATCTTCTGAATATTGTTTCATCAGCAAATAACATTTTGTCTTGTGTAGTTAACTTCTCCTGCTTTACTGGCTACTTTTTTTCATTGCTTCCCAATTAAAACAAAACAAAATTTACAAGTACTCATCTAATCCTTCTCCAGTTGATATCTCTTCTGCAAACTTCTCAAAACAATAGCTTCCTTTTCAATCAGAGCCATACAAAGCGTGGGTGGATGAAGAATTAAGATGGAGAGGACAATATTGAGCTCAGATATGAAATTCAAGACTGCTTCAAATTTTGGTTGTTGTTGAATAACAGGTTTGTGAAAAGCAGGGTCAGGCTTCACCACAAATGTTGGCCCTGACCAAAATTCAAGGACTCAAGTTTCAAGATAAATCTAACTTATGTAAAGATTTGGAAGACAGATCAGAGACAGAATCTCTAATCTTAAAGCGGGTCCTTCCTCAGTGAGCTTTGTAAATAATCTGATCCAATGTCTTCACTTCCCTCCCTCCAGTACATTCCTCAATCCACTGTAATCCACAATGGTTCCCACTTTGACCACTCCACTGGGAATGCTCTCATGCTGTTCACCCATGACCTGGTCACCAAATTCAATAGCCATTTCTTATTCCCTCTTTTATCAGAACTTTGGTGTTAACAAGATCACTTCTTCCCTCTTGATATGCTCTATTGCTTAGGCTTCCAAGATTGTCCTCTCTCCTGGTTCTCTCTGTCTATCTCTGATGGATTCTTCTTTAATTGTTGTAGGCTTCTTTTTCTCTCCCCACCTTTCTATAGTAATAATAGTTATATAGGAGCCAGATATTAACTGGCTTCTATATGAATACCTACAGTAGACTGGAATGTGTTTCCTTCTCTACTAAGTGTTCTTAAAAGACAGGATGATCTAGAATGATCAAATTCATTCACAATAACATCCTGTAAAATAACTATCTTAAGATTTATTTTGTTCAATTGAAGACATCTTTTGCCCTCCTATAAACAAGAGTGAAGATGACAAAAGTGAAGAATGTTTTGTTTCCAACATCCGTGATATAAAATTGAGACAATTAAGGGTTTGGGGGCTTGGCATGAAGGTTTAAAGAACCTGTCATTGCCTGTTTAAAATATCACTGGAAATAAGGTATCAAGACATCTTTTTCTAGTCTTTGTGGTGCTAGTTAGTGGCCACTTCAACAAACACCCCTATCTTATCTCCACCTGACTATTTAGGGTATAGTATTGGAAAGGAGGCAAAATTGGAAGGAAACTTAGAAAGGTACCATAGTATTAGCTTTTATAAAATATTTATAAAACATTTTTCTGAGTAAGGCTTGTTTGAAAATGTTGCCTGATTTCCATGGTGTGGGGTATATTTTGTGATAATTAAATTACCTAGGATTTCTACTTGACCACAATCTAAATACTTTTAAATTATCCCCGGGCCCTAATTAGACCGTGACTTACTGTAGAGTTGGGTTTGGGTAGACAAAATAACTGGGTGTTCCCCCATGGTTCTGACCGCAGGCATCTTCTCTTTTCATACTATAATACTCTGGAGCTCTCACAATCAGCCTCAGAGTTTCAAATACAACCTCTGAGCAGGTGATGCAAAAATCCATTTCTCTGACTCAGAGCTCCCTCCCAACCTTCAGGTTTATAGTCATCCCCTGTTGCTGTGTATCTTCACCTGAAGGCCTCATAGACACTCGAAATTCTACATGGCCCAAACTGAATTTATTAATGTATGTCTTAAAGCAGGTGTCCCCAACCTTTTTGGCACCAGGGACCAGTGTTCCAATGAGAATCTAATGCTGATGATCTGAGATGGAGCTGAGGCGATGATGCTAGTGCTGGGGAGTGGCTGCAAATTCAGATGAAGCTTCACTCTTTCTCCTGCCACTCATCTCCTGCTGTGTGGCCTGGTTCCTAACAAGCCATGGACCTGTAGTGGTCTGCAGCCTGGGGGTTGGGAAACCCTGTCTTAAAGGACATCTCTATCCATCACCACTCACTCTGGAAACCCAGAGGTCATCCTTGGCTCCTCCATCTTTTTATCCTTCACACTTTGACTTTTGATTATTTCTCCAACCCCATCATTTGCCTCCTTCCAGCTCTGTGGCTCAGCAATACCAAACTGCCTATAATTCTTCTACTTGATCTCTTATTTCTTGCCTTTGCCCATGCTTGTCTTTCTGTCTGAAATGCACACTCTCACTACATACCCTCACTGCCTCCCACTCTCCCTTTACGTTTATAGCTACTAAGCTTTGAAAATGCACCCCAGATGCTCCCTCTCCAGGAATCCTGCCCTGGCAAGATCTTACGTCCTCCCTTTGTCAAGTACCATTACAAATAACTCCCTTTAGAGTTCTATCCTTTCAATATTTGCTTACACAACTTACATATTGCTATTAGCTCCTTGGGGGCAAGTGTGGCATAACATTCCTTTTCATATCCCTACATTTTTAGGACAATTCTGATAGAGAAGGCACTGATTATTTATGCTTATGAAATAGCAAGTAATGGAAGAGATTCTTCCCTCTTGCTAATAGCGTGAGATTACCATCATATGAGTTCTTGAAACTCCCGGGAAATTTTTCTAGCCTGAGAAAAAAATATTTTTCACAGAACAAATATATTTCCCCTATAAGACTTAATTCCATTTATAATTTAATTTGAACTTCTTAAGGTAATACTGAATAGAAGAAGGTCTATACTAAAAGATGAACATTTGATCATCTGTGAACCTTTCCATCCTCTTCTGACTCTGTACTAGGGATTCCATTCCAGAAAAGAACACGTGGGTCCAGTTCGGCCAGGTGTTGTGCATAATGTGATACTAGGCATTCCTAATTGGAAATTAGTAGGTTTATGTTTCAATTCCCTGATGAAGAGGCCAGTGGGATGATTGAAAAGAAAATACCATTTGATCATCGGTGGCAGAATCAATAAAAACCATTTAGAACATATGAACTGCATGGAAATTACTACAGTACCTAGGTTGTTATCAATCCATTTCTCTGACTCAGAGCTCCCTCCCAACCTTCAGGTTTATAGTCATCCCCTGTTGCTGTGTATCTTCACCTGAAGGCCTCATAGACACTCGAAATTCTACATGGCCCAAACTGAATTTATTAATGTATGTCTTAAAGCAGGTGTCCCCAACCTTTTTGGCACCAGGGACCAGTGTTCCAATGAGAATCTAATGCTGATGATCTGAGATGGAGCTGAGGCGATGATGCTAGTGCTGGGGAGTGGCTGCAAATTCAGATGAAGCTTCACTCTTTCTCCTGCCACTCATCTCCTGCTGTGTGGCCTGGTTCCTAACAAGCCATGGACCTGTAGTGGTCTGCAGCCTGGGGGTTGGGAAACCCTGTCTTAAAGGACATCTCTATCCATCACCACTCACTCTGGAAACCCAGAGGTCATCCTTGGCTCCTCCATCTTTTTATCCTTCACACTTTGACTTTTGATTATTTCTCCAACCCCATCATTTGCCTCCTTCCAGCTCTGTGGCTCAGCAATACCAAACTGCCTATAATTCTTCTACTTGATCTCTTATTTCTTGCCTTTGCCCATGCTTGTCTTTCTGTCTGAAATGCACACTCTCACTACATACCCTCACTGCCTCCCACTCTCCCTTTACGTTTATAGCTACTAAGCTTTGAAAATGCACCCCAGATGCTCCCTCTCCAGGAATCCTGCCCTGGCAAGATCTTACGTCCTCCCTTTGTCAAGTACCATTACAAATAACTCCCTTTAGAGTTCTATCCTTTCAATATTTGCTTACACAACTTACATATTGCTATTAGCTCCTTGGGGGCAAGTGTGGCATAACATTCCTTTTCATATCCCTACATTTTTAGGACAATTCTGATAGAGAAGGCACTGATTATTTATGCTTATGAAATAGCAAGTAATGGAAGAGATTCTTCCCTCTTGCTAATAGCGTGAGATTACCATCATATGAGTTCTTGAAACTCCCGGGAAATTTTTCTAGCCTGAGAAAAAAATATTTTTCACAGAACAAATATATTTCCCCTATAAGACTTAATTCCATTTATAATTTAATTTGAACTTCTTAAGGTAATACTGAATAGAAGAAGGTCTATACTAAAAGATGAACATTTGATCATCTGTGAACCTTTCCATCCTCTTCTGACTCTGTACTAGGGATTCCATTCCAGAAAAGAACACGTGGGTCCAGTTCGGCCAGGTGTTGTGCATAATGTGATACTAGGCATTCCTAATTGGAAATTAGTAGGTTTATGTTTCAATTCCCTGATGAAGAGGCCAAGTGGGATGATTGAAAAGAAAATACCATTTGATCATCGGTGGCAGAATCAATAAAAACCATTTAGAACATATGAACTGCATGGAAATTACTACAGTACCTAGGTTGTTATCCTGTCTTTAATATGCATTAAGATCTGTGAGATCATACCATTCGACTCAGTGATTCCATTTGCTAAAATTCTATTTTAAGAAGAAATCAAGCTTACTGGCAAATTTGCATAGAGATATTTAACACTTTTATTTATAATTTAAAAAGAAAGTGGAAAGAGCCTAAATATCAAACATTAGGGATTAAGTAAATTATGGGCTTTTTATGAGATAGAATATTATGTAGCCATTAAAATTATGTTTACAAGGCATTTTAATGACATTAGAAAATGCATACAAAAAACTGCTAAGCTAAGTAAAATAAGAACTGGATTTAAAATTGCGTAGATGATATAGTCTCAGTTACATTAAAATGCTGAGAAATTCTGCAAGGAAATTTAAATAAAAGGTTAATGGCTGCTATCTCTAGGTGGTGAGATTGTAGACAATTATTTTTTTCTTTTTCTTTCGATATTTGCATTTTCCAAATATTTGATGATAAGCATATGTGATATTTATAATATGGCAAAACGATGTTTAATACCAAAAATAGGATGTATTTTTCCTAGAAGTGGAGGTAATCAAAAGATTGAATAATTACTGGCTTCATATCTGATATATATATTTTTTGGAAGTTTATAAATATTAAAAAAACCCCTTCTTTGGGTGGTAAAAATATCACCAGCATTCTAAAATAATAATACAATTTTCAAGTTATCATACCAAATCAGATTTTCAGTTACTCTTGCTATTTTCCTTTGTTTTCTAGCTTCTACCTCTGCACCTGAATCGGCTTTAAAATGGTCCCTCCCTGAAGCATGGACAGGTGTTGAAGAGGGGTGGGGAGGACACAACCATACCATTCCAGGTCCTGGAGATGACGTCCTGATTTTACCCAGTGAGTACAACAGTCCATGAACTAAATAATCACAGACA